TCTCTCTCTCTCTCTCTCTCTTTCTTTCTCTCTCTCTCTAATTTACAAAAACATATTTTCTAAATCTATTTACATACCAATTATGGTCAAAAATATAAAAAGTTTCATTATTGTTGATATATGGTTAATTAATTAATTTGAAAAACAGCTGCATAAGCTAAAAGTTACAACTCGACACTAACTATAATATGTATTTTTAGATATTAATTGTACAAGTTTTAGTTTATTAAAAATTTAATATAATTAATTTTATTTCATTGAAACTATTAAAATTCCATTAATATAATTCAAAATAAATTAATTCAATCAATTTATACTTTAAATTAAATTTATTTCCGTCAGTTGTTTTAATATTTTTATAAATATTATATTATATTAAATTAGATGTTTTATATTAAGACAATACAGTTGTCCAAAACATGTTGAATATTTCCCATTATATTCGCGATTATAAATGTATTGAGTTTCAGTAATATAAAGTTTCAGAGAGATGTTCTAATAGATCAACAATTAATTTGCCCATCATTAAAAATATAGTAATTTTTATAAATTTATACATTTAATATAACGCCGAGAGGGAAATGTAATAAATACAAAATATTCTGTGTAATCAAAAGTAAACAATAAAACAGTAAAAATAGTTATAAAACTTTTAATCAATGTTTACATTACATAACAAACACTTAACGCCTAAACGCTATTTATAAGCCATGAGAATACGGTATGTAAACAGTTTTAGTACCAGAAATATCACAAACAACTTAATTAAATTCACGCTTCATTACAAGATAGGTGCCATTTTCTTGGAGTAACATGTATTTACATTGAACATAAACAATTATGGCCACAATAATCAACAAGTTTAATCTGTGCGATAAAATACCCACACCAATCAAACAGCGCGTAGCAATACTGTACGCGTTTGACAACCCTATCGGTCATATATTGCAAGATAAATATAATAAAGATTAAACATCGCATATATTGAAAATCAGCTTATATTTAATGCTTTACGTGTATAGTAATCAAAAAATTGAAATTTCAAAATGAAGTATGATAAATTGATATACAGTACTTAAGAAAATGTTCTATATTAAGTAACTTTGATTGCAATAGATCATTTTAAGTCAATATTTCAACTCAACTATTAATAAAACATTGAATAAAAATTATATTTGAAAAGTAAAGTTAGCTGTAATCTGAGAGATAATTAAATTTATTAAAAATTACTTTATATTACCTAGAACCTCCGATATTGCTGATAACCTGATCGAAATTTGCGAAAAACTTTACTAAATATTATACATTCAATACAAAGGTAAGGTATCCTTATCGTTATGCTATGCTATGATTGTGATTGTTGATAATCGTAACAACTATTAATAAGAATAATTGTATATTTAATTAATATAGAGTATACAACTTTATTATTGAAAAGATGGTAAAAATAATTGATAAAATAGAGCTTAAAATAAATGAGTCAATTGCAAGCAATGCCCACACATTTGAAGCGACCGACGATATCGTTAAGTTTCTTAACAGATATTTTATATTTGCCTCAAAACTCGATGATTACATGAATGGTGTTTACGATAGACGCCGACAATTACCGCTAATTATGGCCCGATTTGTGCTATTATTAGTGGGCGTGAGGTTTGCCGTCTCGGCGGCGGTAAATACCCGTGAAATGACAATATTTCTGTCGGACTCTAACTATATGTTTGGTAATCCGCGGGTATTTTCAGCAATGATGAGTATATCGGCATTTGTTATACTATTCATTGGTTTAGTAATACAACGGTTAGAAATGATGGGCAAAATATACTTTGCCCATTTACTATACCAACTAAAATATAATTGTTTGAAACTCCCAATGAATCGTAATCATAGTAATAGATTCAATTTAATTAGCAATTGGCTATTAAAATATTATTTACGTCAAACATTTTGGTCACTTATGTTTGTAACCAATGGTATGCTATTGTGGGCAATGTTTACGGCTTATTCTGATCCCAATTCTGGTTTCACAATACTATCGATCATATTCTGGTCCATTTGTAACATCTTTTGGACGTTTCAATTCTATGGTATGGCTTGTATGGCATTTCTCTTCTGGTATATCAGCACAACTTATTTGAAATACAAATTCATTGAAATTAATCGAGAGATTGAGATCTGTATTAAGTATAATAACGAGAGAATACTTATGAAAGCAATTGACAAACACTATTTGGTGGCGCAGATTGCTCATGATCATAATATTTTGTATAATTACATATTGTTTATAGTGTATTATGCGGGCACTCCAGCCATTGAATTATTATTATACCTAACGTTTGCAAAGGAGACTAAATTTGGTGTCCGTTTTATTACTGGTTTCCTGTTTGTGGTCCTCTTTGGTGTGGTATTTATGCTGAACTATATGTCCACTCGATTCACAACACCTTCGCATAAATCTCTACCCCTTTTGTACGCATATTTGAAACGCCGGGGAATTTCAGTCCAAAATCGTATCAAACTTTTAGCATTCATAGAGAGGTTGTGTTCACACGATATCTGCTTTTCATGTCTAAACTTATTCAAAATGAGTTCACTTGAGTTTGCATTTTATGTTTACGCCGTTATCGCTAATTATATGCTTATCATTAATTTTGTTAAATAATTATTAAAATTTTCAGATGTCCAGTTTTGGAGACTTTTGTTCAGTGTCCATTGCAGGGGTAAAAACGTACATATGAATTGTCTATTTTTGAAAATATAACTTTATTTATTAATTTATTTTAAATTTATTAACATTTTGAAATGTTTAATATTTTTAGATATAATTTTAATATATAAAATCATTACGCGATTTAAAATATTAGTTGTGATAAATATAATAAGTTAATTTATAATTTCGATCTAACATCTACAAGATTATTTATATTCACTACTATGAAACAAAACAAGAAGACCACGATCATTATAGTAATGGTGATGTTAACGACCATGGTGGCCATGTCATCTAGCACATGTTGGGACGATTGGAGCCGCTGTACTGGATGGTCAAGCGCGTTTGGAGGCATACTATGGCAAAAATGTAACCAGAGGTGTGTATGCCTGGGCTATTCAAGTGGTGCGTGCGTCGAAGCGCCCACCACTTGTGCGGGTTTAAGGTCCGGCACCATGGTCAGCCAGTGCCAGTGCAGAGGCAAAAAGGGCAATCCACCAAGTTCTGGTTGCGGTTTATAGATGGTTTTGTCCCTGTCTATTTTATTTTAATAATATTGTTAACCATTTTATTTTAATAATATTATTAACCATTTTATTTTAATGAGACTATGATGTTAAGCATTTTATTATTTTGATAATTAACCAAGAATTGTTATTTTTAAAACGGTATCTTGTAACCTTTCCTTGACAAATAATTATTGTAAGCTTATTTTAATCATAATAAATAATCGAATAAATAATATGATAAAGCTTTATATCAAGCTTAAAATAATTTACATTTATTTTTTATACAAGAGAATAAATTCTGCGGATTTATGGGAACTAAATGTCCCTGATTTCCGGGGTTTATATATTATTATATAAATATATTAATTGATTTTAAACACCATTAATTTGAGTGATGTTTAGTATAGTAAATCCAATGCAGGCTTTGTTCATAAGTTTATGCATAATTTGAAACACAAATTGTTTGAAATTTTTTTAATTTATAAATGTAAATTTTATTTTACTAAAAAATATTACTGTTGAATAAGTGTAACACTTTATTGTAAATATATGCTAGTTGTTAGTTGCTAGCTGAATGTGCTAATGTATTTTTAATATGTTTAGCATTATTTTAATGTATGTTAAAGTTACTTATGATAATTAAATCTAATAGTTTTTTATTATTTACTGAATAAACATCTGAATAAATAACACATTTTTTAAAATCATGTATGTGGTAATAAATATCATAATCGTATTTATGAATTAATTTACATTTTATAACCTATAGTTCTAACGATTAATTTTAAACAATGAAAGTGATAAATTTACTCCTGAAAGTAGTTGCTATTCTATTATTAATAGTGGTATTTTTAAAAACTTTATATTTGCTAATCTCAGACCTAAATGACATTGATAATTATGCCGTGTATATCAATGATAACAGTTGGTTTACAAAAATGAGCTAGGTCACAATCTGTGCCCAACATATTATACGCATACCTATACTAATGTTGGCAACATTTGCGATCTATACCGGCAACAATCCACTCGTGGTATTATTCACTTTCATCAGTCTATTTACGAATTTGCAGTATATCTGGAATTTTAACAATTATTTGTATTTTTCAATTGATATATCGCTTGTAATCGTTTGTATTATAATTAGTATTTTGTATTATAAACACAATTACAATAAATTATTTATTTATTAAATGTTATAAAAGTTGAATAAAAATAAAATAAAATAATTAATAATCCATATCTAAACTCCCGGACAATCCCTGAATAAGTACAAGTGTTTATTGTGATAACTCTATCATTATTAACCAAGTGTAATGTAAATAAATAAAAAATAAATAAATGTCAAGGTACAAAAATTTGCGCTCAAGACAAATCCTTAAGACAATCCATGTATTTACAATAAAATTACAATAAATTTTTTATTTATTTTTATAAAACTTAAATAACAAATTCAATAAAATAAATTGTTTAAAAATGTATATAACTAATCCTAAGGTTCTCTGTTTTTGGAACAAAAACTTTTTAACTTAAAATCAATGCTTTAGATATAAGCTATAAATTATTAATAATATGTAAATAATACAGATAATAACTTTTTAAAATGATTTTTAAACCTATTTTATCATATTATAATTAATTTATTAATAACAATTTGGCATTTATAGTGACTATTTGGGGTTTATATTTAACTAAAATGCAATGCACAAAAATTATTCACACGGTATTAACTCTGCATTGATTGGTATTTTCAACCATCACAACACACAAGTGGTGACAAAGTACAATTACTTTAGTATCGGGAAGTGTAGGATAATTAGATATCTATCGATAAGACTATTATCACTTAGCATAAGGATTTATTATTTAACAAATACTGTATACTCATAACGTAATAATATTTCAAATATGAATCACTTATTCACTTATCGAAAATAACAATTTGCATTACTTTTGCTTTTTATATTCTATAAAATAATAATACAAATTATTCGGTTTATAATATTGCCATTTACTTAATAATTTTATGCTATTAAATATAATTTAAATAAATATACAAAATTATTTAACCAATGACATACCTATTATGTTTTTCTTACAATTAAAAAATGATGTTAATCGGATAATTTATTTGTTACCACAAATAATAATTTGTAATTTATTGTAATTTGTAATAATAATAATAATAATACATACTATTTTTAATAATAATTATACATATATATTCCACAATAATACTAATATTATAATATACCGGAAAAGGTTTATTATATTGGATTAAATGATAATGAAGTGTCTTGAGCAATTTCTAGTGTAGCTAGAATTCTGAAATTAGTTTCATAATTTAAGTCGACATCCTTAGGCACCAGAATCCAAGTTTCATCAAGATTGGATGAATAGCTTTTGAACAGGAATTTTTCAAAGTTTGTTATTCGGGATTATTTTGAAAAATTTACAACAAAATATTTAACTAAAAATTATCACATTTTTAAACTAACAATATTTTTACTACAGATGTGTTTGAAGTGATTATTTGGTTATTGGGATTCACTATTAGTTATCTGACAATAGTTTAGTGTAGATATCTAATTATCCTACACTTC